GGTGGTAGTATTACACACATCATACACGTTTGAAGAATCAAACGAGATAATCCAAGTGAAGTGCTTTATTTAGTGCTCGGCATATATTAGGTTGGTGTAAAAGTAATTGCTGTTTCTGCAATTACTTTTAATGGCAAAAACCACAATGGCTTTCACACCAACCTAACAATAAGCATCCAAGTAATGTTAGCTATGGTTAGTGTTTATTATACTATAATTATTGTGGTTATTGTTGGTTTTGCTGTTATTGTAATATGGTATCATCATTATTCATATTGGGAACAACAAAAAATTGGTTTAGCTCCTTGAATCTCAAATTTACTGCCATAATCTTTACTAATAATTGTAGTAGTCTTGATAAAAAATTTGTCCCTCTCTACCTCCTATGGGTCAGTAGCAATTTGATAATATTATGTGTTATTACTTATTAGAGTCAGGCATTGTGCTAAGTGCTTTCCATGAATTATCTCATTCAATCCACATAGCAACCTGTACACTTGGTTATTTATTGTCCCATTTCACAGCCAAGAAAAAAGGTTCAGTGAGAGGAGGTCACACTGGAAGTGGCAGATGGGAGAAGTCCCTAAACTAGCTGGGTCTCAGAAGCTGAAAGGATTACACCGATAAAGATCTCCAAGATTCCCGCCCAGCACCATCATTTATTATTTTGAATTGATAATAGTTTTGCTTTATTACCATCTGCCGTATATGTGAATTTATTCTATTTGGATGGAGTCTAATGTATAAAGAAAGCTATTGTGACTCTTATAGAAGACTTTGCTCTAGCAAATTCTATGTAAATAGGCCGATTTCTTTCAGTGTCTCTTGTCTCTATGCTCCCAAAGCCTTGAAAGAACACTTCCTCCATGTCCAGCACACTATCTCCTTCTGACATGCTCCTTTTTCCTCCATCTCCAGCACACTGTCTCCTTCTTACACGCTCCCAGCCCTCCTAACTTCCCCCTTCTGCCAACAGTGTCCACACCTCCCCTCCTCCCCCTGCCGTCCCTACACCCAGACCCGCGGCGCATTCCATCTGCCACCAAGTCCTCACGGCTATTTCTGTCAACATTATCAAGACCCAAATCCGACCAGCAACAGCCCTCACTTGGAGTCCAAAGTCACTTCAGAAAGGCTGGAGAACTCTACAAATGTAAGCTGCTGCTATTATCCCCTCCATATAGATTCGTACACTGATAATTTGTTCTTGAGGACAGGAATTTTAAACTTTAACGTACATGCAAATTACCGAGGGATCTCATTAAATGCAGATTCTGCTTAGGTTACTTTGGGGTGGGGCCTGGGCATTTTGACAGCTCCCTGGATGCTGCTGGTCCCAGACCGTACCCTTATCTCAGTCATAGCTCACAACACCCCTTCAAGGAAGGAATATCGCTCACATTTTATAAATGATCAATGGGTGAGAGAGGTTGAGAGATGTATCCAAGGTTCCAGAGCTGGTGGGTAGCAAAGCTGCGATCTGAACCCAGCTAGATCTTTTTGACTCCATACAACAAAAAAAGAAAAGAAAAGAAAGAAAAAAAAGAGTATGCACACACACACACACACACACACACAGAGTTATCTTTACATCTGTATAATGATATCAAACATATTTCATTCTTTATCTCATTTTAACAGCATGACCCTCATAAATGCCTAGTGAAACTTTCAGTCCCCCATGTTGTCCGAACTTAATAAACATTCAATCCGTAGGTGGAGTAGGAATGTGTGGGACCTGCTGCTTGGGGGGCATCTTCCTTTCCTTATGAGCAGACTCATGAAGACCTTTCCTAAAGGTTTCCCTTGGGACTCTATCCTTTACTTCTGTTACTGATTAAACTTACTGACTCTAGCACTTTTTTGCCTCTAGTAATTCAGTACCATAGAGAACCTGACAGATACGTGTCTCCTAATTAGTTTGAATTATGAAAGTAAGGGCGTGAATAATAGCGACCATTAGTGGCGAGTCACTGCCATCTCACGAAGTAGAAACAGGATGTTTTCAAGTCAGCAAAAAAAAAAGGGGGATGCAGCCTTGCTTCTCCAAGGGGGGAAGCTTCTCTGCGGCAGCCATGAGCCAGTCCAACTCTGGCTGCCTTTTCAGGGCGCTGTAATCCAGTTGGAAGATGTGTGTAGGGTTGGAAGGAGGAACAGGAAGACACAAATTGAACAGAAAATACACAAAACGAGGCAGCAAACACACAAAAGATGATTACTGGGCAGCTGTCCTGTGAGGGGAGAGTGGACGCCATAGGAGGCTGAAGGAGGTGCTCCCGGGAGCTGGTGGACAGGAAGGCATCATGAGGAGGCGGGACTTCAGCTGGGACTTGAAGGGAGAGTGGGATTTGGAGATAATGGCGTTCCAGGTGGAAGTCATGGGCCACCCAGACAGAGGCCCAGGAGATAGGGGAGTGAACCAGGATATTCTCAGGATGGAGTGGAAGCGGGAGGGATCCCTGCCCATGAGACAGAGCAGAGAAATCTGGGTGGGAGGCCTGCTTAGTGGAGAGATGATTACCTGGGGGTCCCTGCAAGCCAGGCCAGGGAGTGTGGCCATCACACAGTCGGGGAGTGACTTGAGGGAGACAGCAGGTCAGGGAGTAAGCAGTAGACAGGCCATCTACAGTCAGGCAAAGTGGCTTTGGACCCTGGCTTCACTGTGTAATAGGTACAAAATAGGAGGGGACATGCCTGTTTGAACTTTAGGTACCTCTATTTGTTACTTGGGCCTGATAAGTATTGTCCCAGGGCTTTTCTGGGGCCCCTCCCGGCATCAGAGAATAGGAATCCAGTCCAAACAGACCCAGAGAGGCAGAGACCCCAGGTCCTGTCCCAGGCACCTGCCACAACTCTGTGCCCAGGGCCGTTTAGAGAGGCCAAACAGGAACAAAGACGGGGTGCCACTAGCCACCCCGGGTAGGACGCTTCTGTCCTTTGTCAGATATGAGCCAGAGGTCCAAGTGAAGGATATTTAGTTTGCCTTCTTGCTAACAGATTAGATGAACAAATAGTACAAGGCCTTCCAGAACAATGAGCCCAAGAAAGGGCTGGGCCAGAAAGGACGTGAATCTGGGGTTCCTGACTCCCAAAGCACAAGGCCCAAAGGCCGCCTGGGTGAAAGGTCTGAGTCTGCCTGGGAGGGACCCGCAGCTGCTCAGGCCTGCTCCTTCCTGGGTGATTTCAAAAGCTACTCCTGGCCTCCAGCTCGGAGGACTGTACGCCTTCAAGGATTCATTATTTAGTAAGAAGTCAGATGCTATTTGGAAAACAAACATTTCCTGCATATCCATCCAAGTGGGACACTTTTACATCAGAACACTATCTATCAGCCCTGTCATTTAGGTATTTTTAATCCACAATTTACAAATGAAGACATTAAGCTCAGAGAATTTGATCCAAGTTTCAGAGCTCGGAAGCCACAGCTCCAGGATTCAATCCTTGGTCTCATTCCTTCCCAGCCACTGTTTTTATCCAAGATGCCACAATGACCTCTTCCCTGCAAGAGCCTGCTTGGAGGCTTCCAGGAGGCTCAAAGTCAATCAAAGCTTTCTTGGCTCTGTTTTCACAGTTTGGGAAATGGTACCAACACAGGCGTTTCTTCCTACTGTTTGCCCATCATGACACACCCACTGTTACTTCTTTAGACTGCCCCTGTGCTATTCCCAGAAGTGTTACTGCTATTACCACTACTACTAATACAAATGATCTTCACATATTGAGCTTCTACGGTGTGCTCAGCACATGAGTTTGTAAATGTATGGTCTTATTTAACTCTATAATTATACCTGGTTTTTTTTTTTTTTTTTTTTTGAGACAGAGTCTCACTCTGTTGACCAGGCTGGAGTGCAGTGGCCCAGCTCACTGCAACCTCTGCCTCCAGGGTTCAAGCAATTCTCCTGCCTCAGCCTCCCAAATAGCTGGGTCTACAGGCTCACACCACCATACCTGGATCATTTTTGTATTTTAGTAGAGAGGGGGTTTCACCATGTTGGCCAGGCTGGTCTCAAACTCCTGAGCTCAAGTGATCCACCTGCCTTGGCCTCCCAAAGTGCTGGGATTACAGGCGTGAGCCACTGCTCCCGGCCTATATCTATTTTCTACATTAGGATCCCAAAACACAGAGAAATAAACCCACTTGCCCAAGATCACCCAAGTAGTAAGTGGTGAAACTGGGATTTGGACGCTTGAACTCTGACTTCAGAGCATGTGAATTTAAGCACTGAATTCAGTACACATCCGTACACACCCAACTTGTTCTCCCTATTTCCTGTCTTGATCATTTTGGAAATAATCAAAACAGAAAATAAATGTGACAAATAAACTTGTCCCAGGTCCTTTCCTTGAGAACTAACATCACTATCTACCCATCAACCCAGTGGCTCTAGCCAAATATCTAAGAGTCATCTTGATTCGTGTGTGTGTGTGTGTGTGTGTGTATATATATATATTTTTTTTTTTTTTTGAGACAGAGACTGACTCTGTCACCCAGGCTGGAGTACAGTGGTGCAATCTCGGCTCACTGCAACCTCCACCTCCTGGGCTCAAGCGATTCTCTTACCTCAGCCTCCCCAGTAGCTGGGATTACAGGTGCCTCCCACCACACCCACTTAATTTTTATATTTTTAGTAGAGACGGGGTTTCACCAAATTGGCCAGGCTGGTCTTGAACTCCTGCCCTCAAGTGATCCTCCTGCCTCAGCCTCCCAAAGTGCTGGGATTATAGGCATGAGTCACTACACCCAGCCTTGATTCAGTGTATTTTCACATACTGATAATTATAAAGCAGGCAGAGTCTTATTTGAACCTGTGATTATTCTATGTAACAGAATTTGAATCCATTAGCATGGTGATTATTCTTCCTGAGCGGGAGACACTAGTCTCTGTTTGGTCTTTAGCCATGAAACACTTTTATACACATCACACTAAATCTCATTCTCTCCAACAAGCGCTGTCCCCCCTCTGAACACATGAGCCATCCAGTCTAAAACAAAGAGAAACTTTTATAACTAGCCACATTGTTTTCACTTTTAAACAAACCTACAGAAAGGAACACTCGTTACGAACATATTTGTTAATTGTAAATTGCTATCATCAAACCTAACAAGGTTTGGGCCTTTCAAGTGTTGGGAGTTTGGAATTTGGGAAGCCAGGATTGGGGTTGGAGTAGGAGGTGGCATTCTTAAAGAGATGGAAGGATCCTATCCATCCAATCAAAGAATCGAATCAAAGAACAAACTTCCCAATCTTTTGCAATCCATGCATACCTTAGTGAGAATAGCAAAATGCAAAATAAATTATCATATTAAAATTGACTGGCATAAAATTCTCATGGTGGGAAGAGAAATGGAAACCCCGGCTCACCCACGGCCTGCTCCTGTCCTCAGCTCGGCCAATGGGAAGTGCATTCCCAGCATCCATGTGGTCTCCATGATGTGATCGAGGCCAATAGTGTCCCCCCGAGTGGCAGCTGTGCAGCGTCGAAGCTCCTCTGACGTACACAGGACTCACCTGCTGCATCCTCTGCAAACTGCCAAGGATAAGAAGACACTGTGTGACCCTCCAGTGCTGCACCACCAGCCTCACTGCGCTGCCTTTCCTCCATATTGTAAGTATTCCCTTTACTTAGCTGACACCTTCAATTTTTTTTTTCCTTTTTTCTTTTTCTTTTTTTTCTTTTTCTTTTCTTTTCTTTTTTTTCCTGAGACAGAGTCTAGCTCTGTCGCCCAGGCTGGACTGCAGTGGTGCGATCTCAGCTCACTGCAACCTCCGCCTCCCAGGTTCAAGTGATTCTCCTGCTTCAGCCTCCCCAGTAGCTGGAACTACAGGCACCTGCCACTATGCCCGGCTAATTTTTGTATTTTTAGTAGAGACGGGGTTTCACTGTGTTGGCCAGGTTGTTCTCTAACTCCTGACCTCACGATCCACTCGCCTTGGCCTCCCAAAGTGCTGGGATTACAGGCGTGAGCCACCGCGCCCAGCCAACACCTTCAATTTGTAAGTATTTGCAGCCAGGCAGCCTTCTGGTGTCAAAGACGCGGAGTGCTAGAAGAAGCTACCAGCTCCCACGAAACAAGAGTGGTCACGGTGGGATTTTGAAAAACCCCTTGACTCTTACCTTAAAAAGCCCTCAGAGCCTAGGAGAATGGAGTTGCCAAATGGCATAGAAAGTGATTGTTTTGTGTTACACCACTGCTTGGACAGTGGTTCTCTGTGCCCATGAAATGACACCCACCAGTCAAGCAACAGAAGTAGCTGCCGCTTGGAGCCTGTGCAAAACTGAGCTGCTTGGGAAGTATAGAAAGCCCTTTTCTCTGAAAACAATATTCTGAAGTATTTGTCAAAATACTGTTATGAATCTTAAACTTTACAAATCTGGCTGGGCAGGTGATTCACACCCATGATCCCACTTTGGGAGGCTGAAATGGGAGGATCATCTGAGGCCAGGAGTTCAAGATGAGCCTCGGTAACACAGTGAAAACAAATAAATTTTTTAAAAAAAATTTTTTTTAAATTGAGGTGGGCATGGTGGCGTGCACCTGTAGTCCCAGCTACTCAGGAGGCTGAGGCAGGAGGATTGCTTGAGCCCAGGAGTTTGAGGCTGCAGTGAGCTATTAGCCTGGGTGACAAAGGAAGACTCTGTCTCAAAAAAAAAAAAAAAAAAAAAAAAAGCAAAAAAAACCAATGCCTTTACAAAGCTATTTTTCTGTTATAGAGATAATCATGTTAAGAGTGAAAGGTTAGGCCAGGCACAGTGGCTCACACCTGTAATCCCAGCACTTTGGGAGTCTGAGGCAGGTGGATCCCTTGAGTCCAGGAGTTTGAGACCAGCCTGGGCAATGTGGTAAAACCCGTCTCTAAAAAAAAAACCCACAAAAATTAGGTAGGCGTGGTGGCTTGCGCCTCCCAGCTACTTGGGAGGCTGAGGTGGGAGAATCACTTGAGCCCAGGAGATAGAGGTTGCAGTGAGCCGAGATCATGCCACTGTGTTCCAGTCTGGGCCACAGAGTGAAACTCTCACCAAAAAAAAAAAAAAAAAAAAAAAGGTGAAAGGGTAAATGTACCGTGTCAGATATTAGGTATTGTTCCATTAAATGTTACAAGATACTTGACTATAACTTTATTTTAACTAAGGGCTAACCTCAAAAACTGATAGCCATCTTAAAATGAAGATGACAAGCATTCCATTCTCAAATAATCTAAAATGTATTCCCAATCAGATCAGTAGGTTTTACCAATATTAACATTTCTATCCTTTCCCTAATTGTTTATTTAGCTGAAGGCCTATATGTGTGATATGCTACTGGCATATCAAAAGAGGATTGTTTTTGAACCTGCACGGTGATTAATTCTGCATTTTCATTCATTTTTTGCGGGGAGGGAGTAGTTTGAGTATAGTGTATTGGAAAGAGAAAGGGTTTTGAAAACAGAAGGACCTTAATGCAAATCCAGATTGAACCATTTCCCTCTTTGTGGTCTGGGCTAGTTCATTTCACCCCTCTGAGCCACCGTCTATTTTTCTACTAACCTCTGTCACAGGTTCCAGCAGTGATTCAGTAAAATTTCATATTTGGGAGCCTGCCACGTAATAGCAGCCCTTTACCTTTTCTAATTCTTTCTTAGGTGGTAAGTGTCTCTAATAAGTATTCACACTGGGTTGTGGAGTCTACCTGCATGCCTCAGGTGACGACGTGAGAACGTGGTTCACGTGAGGTCCGATCTCACAGGGCGGTGCTGGCCAGGCCCAGCATTGCAAAGATTCCTTCTATTATTCCCAAATTCTTCTCATTTTTTAACACTCTTTGCCCTTTTCCCTAGGTCAATGGAAGGGTATGATCTCTACAATAAAGCCCAGACTTATTTTTCCCATAGGCCTGTCAAATACTCCCCGATAGCCCCTGTTCTGTCCCAAGGAATGATGTAGCAACTCCTCAAGAATTCCTACCCAGCATTCTTACTGGTGAAACCTGAGTTGGTCATTACAACTATTTTTGTGGGATTTTTAAAAATAAGACATAAAAAACAAGCAAACATGTAACCGTGCTTTTGTGCTATCCTTAGATTGTTATGGTTAAAAAGGGATAATTGATTTTAAGTTAAATATTCCTCATATGCTGATCCACCCCTCGAGTACTAGCTGTAATATTTTATAGACTACGTGGTCTGACCTATTGACCCAGCTCCTGATGCGCCCACGGACAAGCCGGAAGGGCCATCCGTCCCACTGGCTTTGCAATCTGGAGGCTGACAACCACCCACCCTGCCACCCGTCAAAGTCCCTGCTGGTGACTCTCTCCCCCAGCAAGCTGCCTCCCTTCCCCCACTTTCCCAAACATCTTGGGCATCTCACACAATCCAATTACACTCAGGTTGTTTAAACAAACAGCAGCACAATTCCCCAGCCCAGAGCCCCAACTGAGGGATTCCCTTGGGCAGACTCTCACCACCTCCACCCCCAACTACAAGCCACTTTCAGAGAAGAGCAGCCCTGAGCAGAGACAATGGGCTCTGGGTTCACAGTGGGTAGTTTTCCATGTCTAAATGTTTGCAGACACTTGGTAAAGTGTCCCAGGCCAAGTTTCCAAAGGACAATACCTCCACACCGCTGAGTTTGTTTAAGCAGGCCATCCCAGATAAGAAGGGGCTTGCCCCTCCTCTTCAAAAGCCAAGAATTCAAGACAGCGGCTGGAGGCAATGCTGTGGGAGGTTGGGACAAATTCCACTGGAACAAGGAATACTTGAGTCCCTCTCTCCACTCCCACCCTCCCTTTCCTAAAGAAAAGGTGAAGTCAGGAGGTTGGTGGAGTTTTTGTAAGTATTTCACAAATAAGACAACTGGGACAAGGCAGAGTGCTGGTTACAATGCCACAGCTGAGCTGGATTTAGAAGATGCAAGGCGTGGTGGCAGCACCTGTAATCCCAACTACTGGGAAGCTGAGGCAGGAGAATGGCATGAACCTGGGAGGCAGAGTTTGCAGTGAGCCGAGATCGCGCCACTACACTCCAGCCTGGGCAACAGAGCGAGACTCTGTCTCAAAAAAAAAAAAAAAAAAAGAAGAAGAAGAAGAAGAAGATGCAAGGATTGCTTACAATTTCTCACTGAGCAGGTATTCAGTTCCTGCAGAAGGACTGACTACCTTCCCCACTGGGCAGTTCACATCATGTAAAATGCCAGTCAATGCCCAATGCCTTACATTTTCTGTTGAAAAGCAAAAGAACCAACCATTCTTATCTCCAGGCCAATTCTAAAGGGCTGCCACCAAACTTGTAAGGACCATCACTCGCCCAACAAATATTTCTAGATCATCCACTTAGAACAAATCCATAATGGTGCAGGGGCAGCGAATAGAGGCAATATCTAGATTCACAAGTGATAGAAAGTGGTGTCTTATTTATTTATTTATCTATCTATCTATCTATTTTGTAGAGATGGGGTCTCCCTATGTTGTCCAAGCTGGTCTCGAACTCCTGGCCTCAAGTGATCCTCCCACCTTGGCCTCCCAAAGTGCTGGGATTACAGGTGTGAGTCACTACATCTGGCCTGTAAGTGTCTTAAAAGAAGAGCAAGAAAAGACTCTGGAAGCTCAGAGAAGAGATGGCTTCTGGCTGAGAGGAGGTGAGCTGATTAGAGAAAGCTTCACAGGGAGGAGGTGTTTGAGTCAGCCCTTGAACCTATAGGAAGGGTGGAGATGAAAGCCAGCTCCATCATCAGGCCATGGATAGGCTCTTCCCATATATTTCTAGTTCTTTCTACATCTCTGGATCCTTCAGTTATTAAAACAGGTATTCTTATATATTCTGGGTCACAGATCCTTTCAAGGGAATCCTTGAAAGCTGTGGATTCCCTCTCCAGAAGAATGTACACATTCCAAAATACGGCATGCCATTTCAGCCAGTGCCCAGACTTATCCAGGGACTTCTGGGGATCAAATACTGGCAGACCCATTTCTGCCAGGGTCTGATAGGAGAATTGAGAGAAAAACAAAATTTCCATCTATCCTTTACACTTGTATTCATATTTTTTTAATTAACTAATGTATTTGGTCTACAAAACCCGAAAGAAGAAAGGAAAGGGCTTCTTCACTTTCCATGTTGTTTGAAAAGTCCATTGATCTAATGAGTGACATCTTGGGAGAAACAGAAAGTCTTTTGCACCTTCTTTGGGTTGCAGATTCCGAAGAAGGCTTTTCAAAAGCCCAAAAACTGACACTCTGAAAGTGGCTTTCACAAAGGAATCTAAATCAGACTTCAGCATGTCACTTATACAATATCTGAGAGCCACAAATACAGATAGAAAGGTCTGGCTTAATGGTGTGACACTAAGATGACACTGAGCCTCACTCATCCTTTGCACACCAAACATGTTTGAATGAATAAATCACTGATTGAGGGAGTGGATGAGAAGTTTTATGACAGAACAAATGGGACAGATACACATGGAGTTTTGGTGAGAGTAAAAGTGTAGGTTGGCCAGGCGTGATGGCTCACACCTGTAATCCCAGCACTTTGAGAGGCCAAGGCAGGTGGATC